AGAATTGGATTGCATAACAAATTAAGTTGACGATGAACTCATTCCATTTAAACATATGAATTGGGCTCGTAGTAATAATTAAAGAAAAAACTACCAACACAATATGAACTATAAAAAAACACAAAAACGTCATAAGAAACATAATTTCAATTAAAACTTAACATGAACACATATGAACACACACAGTTCGTTAGATACCTTGATTCATGTCCCTAATAGAACATATATGAACACAACTAAACGTATATGAACACTAGTTGCAGTATATGGCAGGTCAAGCATCACAAGCAGCTGATGGAGCCGAAAGGTTATCAAAATTGGATTGCATAACAAATTAAGTTGACGATGAACTCATTCCATTTGAACATATGAATTGGGCTGTAGTAATAATTTGAGAAAAAGCTACCAACACAATATGAGCTATAAAAACACAAAAACATCATAATCAACATAATTTCGATTAAAACAAAAGCAATAACATATTAATCTATTACTAATACAAACGCTTTGATTATTGTCTTCACTTCCGGAACTCAAAGTCCAATTGTCATCGTAAACCATTTTAACCTTCCCATTGTTGTTGAGTTGTTTTCCAATGGGTTTATTCATATTAGCTTGAACAATTTCGAAAACTTTACTATCGGGTGTTCTTTAACAATCACAAATTCAAGAACATTATAGATGGATAAATCAATATTATAGAAAAACAAGATCAATGGTAAATCAACAACAATTATAGGATTTTTTTTTATTTTGTAACTCTTAATTAATGATATGGGAGTTACATACAAACTAAAATTGCATATTTACCCATGTCATTAAATTATGACATATATGGATATGAACCTAGATAAAAGATATATATAGAGAGAAAGAGATTGGTTCAAATGTTCACCAAGATTATTGTGTTAAATTTGTTAACCAAGCTCAACCTATGAAAATCCATCTTTTATCTAGGTTCATATTCATCTCATAATTTAATGACAAAGGTAAATATGTAATTTTAGTTTTTATGTAACTCCCATATCATTAATTGGGAGTTACAAAATCAAAAAAAATCCTATAATAGTTGTTGATTTACTATTGATATTGTTTTTCTATAATATTGATTTATCTATCTATAATGTTCTTGAATTTGTGATTGTTAAAGGAAACCCGATAGTAAAGTTTTCGATATCGTTCAAGCTAATATGGATAAACTCATTGGAAAACAACTCGACAATTATGAGAAGGTTAAAATGGTTTACGATGAACATCAGACTTCGAGTTCCGGAATTGAAGACAATAATCAAAGCGTTTGTATTGTTAATGGATTAATATGTTATTGTATTCTTTTTAATCGAAATTATGTTGATTATGACGTTTTTATGTTTTTATAGTTCATATTGTGTTGTTACTTTTTTCTTTAATTATTACCACGAGCACAATTCATATGTTCAAATGGAATGAGTTCATCGTAAACTTAATTTGTTATGCAATCCAATTCTGATAACCATTCAGCTCCATCAGCTGCTTGTGATGCTTGACCTGCCATAGACTGCAACTAGTGTTCATGTACGTTCATGTGTGTTCATATACGTTCAGGTATGTTCATATATGTTCTAGTAGGGACATGAATCAAGACATCTAATATTGAGTTTATAATTTTTGTTAATTTATTATTGATCTTGTTTGTTTTTTATAATATTGACTTTTCTATCTATAATGTTTTTGAATTTGTGATTGGTAGAAGTGACCCGGTAGTAAAGTTTTCGGTATCGTTCAAGCTATTATAGATAAACTCATTGTTTATAATGAAGGAACTATTGTTCACAAGTGTTCTTATTGTGTTCATATGTACACTAGTTGCATATCTCAACATTGGTTCGCTCTTGAATGTGTTCATAATGAAGAAACTATTGTTCATATGTTGTTCATATTGNGTTCATATGTACACTAGTTGCATATCTCAACATTGGCCCACTCCTGAATGTGTTCATAATGAAGGAACTATAGTTCACAAGTGTTCATATTGTGTTCATATGTACACTAGCTGCATATCTCAACATTGGCTCGCTCTTGAATGTGTTCATAATGAAGAAACTATTGTTCACAAGCTGTTCATATTGTGTTCATACCTGTTTTTTTATTTATTTCCTTTCGTGTAGCAGCTATTCTTATTATGTTCATATTGTGTTCATAAATGTTATGTTGTCCCAGTTCATATATATATATATATATATCAATTTTTGTTCGTATTTGACACAATGGTTCATATATATATGTGTGTGTTTGTGTTGTGTTGTGTTCATATGTTTCTTACATTAACAAAAATAATGGGATTTTTTAGATTTTGTAACTCCCAATTAATGATATGGGAGCTACATAAAAAAGAAAATTACCTAAATACCATTTTCTTGATTGTTCACATATGTTTTTAGAAATTGTAAAATTAACAAATTGATTTTTTATCATTATTAATCACAACTCTTTATTGTAAGAATAAATGGCCAATATTGGTTAACAAAGTTAACACAATAATCTTGATCAACATTTGAACCAGCATATATATATATATATATATATATATATATATCTATACTACATATATAAGCATTTAAGACAAAGTCTTAAATACAACTCCTAAAGCATATGTTACAATAATTTTATGCATGATTTTCAAAAAACTCTTAATTACAAATTATTATACACAATGTACAAACTCCTTATGCAACAGTTTCCTACAACACCAAATACTAATTCCGTCAATTGTGTTTTCTCTGCTCAGACATGTAAGGTAACCAATTTGAGCTTTCTTTTCTTCTTCTGTATATGCGACCAAACCCTTTCTTCTTCACAAAATTTGACCATCAATTCTCTCCTTAGACATCTAAAATAACTTTCTTTCTTCTTCTTCTGTATATGTGACCAAACCTTTTCCCTTTCATCTTCACAGAATTTGACCATCAACAATATGAATTCCCACTCCCGAGTTGAACGAATTCCTCCGTCCCTCCAAAAACCTAGATTTTTCATTTCAATCTGTAACCCTTTTTACAGCTTTCTTCCACCCATTTAGTAACTTCAAACCATTCTTTCTTCCTTCTTGTTTCTTCCTTCCCTATTACAGCTGTCACCTGATAAAAAGATTCAGCTTTTCTTTATCGTAAACAACATCATCACTCAGAGGTTTCTGTATTTCGTGCTTTATTCAAGAAACTGATGGAAACAAAAGATACCTACATAAAACCGTGTTCATCGATCCCCCTCTTTCTCTCAATCACATTCGCATATCAAGCTGCTTCTATTCGAATTTGATTTGAGCTTGAGGTAGCGTACGAAAACCCTAACCCTTGATTTCTGATCTCGATTTAGTATCTTCTGTATGCCCATCTACCCCTCTATGGAATATCGACACACCTTTCCTCACTGGCCAATTCCACCAGGTTTCCCTTTTCTCCTCTTATTATAGATGATTAAAGACTCAATC